TCCATCTTCCTGGACAGCATTGTTCATAGTTCTTATCAAGTGAATGCGAACTGTGCCCACCGTCCCGACGCTTGCCCTGAAGAGTCGCATGAATTCCGGTGGCTGAATCGTCGGTCGCTCGGTCCACCGCCGTGACAACATTTCGGCTGACTGTGACAGTTCATTTGCCGTATTCCCTGACCTCTCCGCTCTTCCTCATCTCTCTCCTCTGCTTCTAGCAGACTCTGCCGCTCCCATATCGGCCCTGATTGAGACACGCGTGTCAGCGCGTGGGGCCGGCGGGCTGGGTGGCCGGCGGTCGTCCCTCAGAGGTGGGCGGCATGAATAATGAATATGCAGCGCGATGACCGGCCTGGTTTCTCGATCTGACATCACCAGGCCAGCTCGGAGACGGGAAGGGAGCGGCGAGCTGCGTGTGGCGCTTATTCAGCCGAGGTTGGGAGAGTCACGACTGAGTGCGTCGTGGATGGCACTCCCTGAGGTGAGGGCGGTCGGTTGGACGACTGGCCTGTCCGATCAGGACTCTGAACTGCGTCGGTCAGGCGATACATAAGCTCAGTAGGAGTGCCCGTTAGAGTCACCGACGATATGCAGGGTGAAAGAGGACGGGGCCGGTGCGGTGGAGGTGAGGTTCTGAGTTGGTGTGGTGATACGCCACACTGTCACGCAGTGAAGGGGTACAATGAGATCACCATGTCACGCCGCTGGTGTTTGATGGAGTGGTGGGCTTCCATAGTGGCTTGCCTTCGGGCTGGCCCTCGAACGTAGCGCTTATGTGTGGAGAGCAATCAGTGTGAACTGCTATCCGGGGCGCTGTTCGGTCGCAGTTTTTTATCAGCAGGCTGCGAGCATTCTGCTATTTCTTGGCTCCTCATTGGTCAAATTCACGTGGTCTCTTCATTTCACCAATGAAAGGCCAAGAAGCGCCAGCAATGACTTCCTTATATGGGAAAAACCGACAGCATGCTGCTAAAAAACAGCGACCGAACAGAGCTCGGGTGTCTGTTTTGGCTGCCGTTCGACTGTCGGTGTGAGGGTGAGCCGCCGCTACGGCGTCCGCGTGTGTCAGGGACAACTTGTTCGGTGGTCCAGAGTGGCCTCCTATCGACTTATCGGGCCTCTGGGGGAGTGCCGGAGCTAGCGGCGCCATTGGACGGCCGTCATCGGGCCGTCATCAGAAAAATCATCATCAGACATACCGTCCTCAGGCACTGGTAGATCGTCATCGAGTCGTCATCAGTTGTCCTGGTAAACCGTCATCCAGCCGTCCGCAGCGGCACTTGTGGATTGTCATCGGGTCCTTAGTAATACCTCATAGCACAGCCGCCGCAGATTGCCTTTGAGAGTATATCACCACTGAGTGGGTGGTCTGTCATACCAAAGAAGCTTACCGGCCCTGATGGCAGAACCCACCCAGCCTTCACCCAGTCGCGCAGAGCACCAGTTGACATTGAGCGCGGCACCAGTCACCAGTGGTGCCGAGCGGAGCGCGGTGTATTGATCAGCTGATCGAGCGACGGTTGGACATGGCCTGGTGGGCGACCGGCCGGCCGACCGATCGGTTTCGACCGACCCGGACCGGTCTTCGGCCGCACAGAAGGCCGCGCTCGAGAGCTGTGTCACAGCGCTGAACAAGTGAGCAGAACAAGGGAATAATCCGCGCTCTCTCTACATCGCGTCAGTGGAGGCATTCGGCTGACCGAATCGGGGTTGCGTACGTGGAAAGAAAGGGAGATAGCTCTACCCACTCGCTCGTGGTGGAGCCGGGATGCTGGCTGACCGGGAGTTCTGTTCGAGACATCACCAGGGTGTCGGCTGATGTGTTTTGACGGCTGGCCTCAGCTGATTTACCTGGCGGTGAAGGTGTGTCCCGAATTCAAACACGGCCCGCTCCGCTGCCCAGGAAAAGCCAATCTGAGGAGCGGTGCTGCCACCGGCTGGTCGGCTGTGCTCCTCCCACCCGCCGGTGTGTGGAGCGGTCTCCTCCCTCGAGAGGAATGCGGAGCGCACGCACAACAAATCCGACACGGAGCTGTTCGTGTTATGTGGCTGGTAGGCCGATCTCTGTAGATCAACGGCAGCGGCAACACAAAGATGAGCAGCAAAGCTACCACCCTTTCTGTGTATTTGTATTTGAATTTTGGGCCGCTGACATTTGGGCAGGCGGTGTTTAGCTGTATAATGTATATTGTGCAGGTATTCCGAGCTCCGAACCATACGTGTATACCGTCGACCGGTCACGTGCCGGGTGCCTCCTCCGCCGCGGTACCGACCCGGCGCCCGGGGCTGATCCGGGTTGGTGTCCGCCGCCGCACAGTTTCTCTCGCTCGCGCTGCCTCTCATCTGAGCTCGCGGAACGCTACCCGTCCGAGGATTCCACCAGAGAGTGTCCACCACTCGCTGGAGTGTCGGGACGTGCCGTCTCGTCGCTCCAGTGACACGCGTGGTTAGACCCGCGGACATTGGCACCTGCCTGCCGGTGCTAATGGCTCGCCATCAGAGCACTTAGCTCGGCCGCCGCCGGCACTTGGCGCTGAGACTGAGAGACAGAGCGGCGACCGTCTCTGTCTGTCGAACGGTGACGAGCGCTCTCTGGCGTCTCAGTCCGACACTCCTACGTGCGCCTTTTACCATCCAAGTTCCTGCTCGCATACAGTGGTGGTGCCTTTCTCTGTATCTAACACGAGAATGCGGCACAGTTTCCGTTTTCGCCGTTGCGCCTATTCTCAGGCATTTCCATGTCAAAATTGGGAATCCATTTTCCTTATGGATGTATGACCGTTCAGCTTTTCATCTAGCTTTCTGACCACCCATCCATTTTGCTGATTTGATGCCCACGCTAACTGCGGCTATCTGGTGTGGCATCTCTCTCTCTCTATCTATCAATCGATCAGTGCCTGTCTAGGCTCGCCGTGTTTGCTCTCCCGTATCGTTCATCGCTATCGGCGTGTATCTTTTCCGGCGTGTCGCTATCTTCCGATCGCACTGCGTTCTCGCGCCTTCTCTAATTTCTTCTCAGCGGCGCACTGACTCCGTCGTGAGTGCCGTTTTCTCATGTTTATTTTCTCCTCAGCTATTTTCTTTCCGAGTCCTACTTACGTCTTGTGTGTGCATGGCAGCGTCGAGTTTTGTTATTTTTGCCTATTTCATGTGAATCAGATCATTTTCGTTTTTTTTTGTGTGCTTAAACCATCATCCTCTCCCATCACCCAGGTCTTTCATCTCTCTCTCTCTCTCTCTCTCTCTCTCTCTCTCTCTCTCTCTCTCTCTCTCTCTCTCTCTCTCTCTCTCTCTCTCTCTCTCTTTCTCCTTATCTCTTCCTCTCCCCAATTAATCGTATCGATTTAATCTGCCGATGCGTGCCGCGGGGCGGGCCCGGCCCACTTGACTTAGCTGTCACTGTCGGCACAAGTTTTCATTAAACGGAACTTTTGCCGGTAATTTATCGGTCCCCGCCCTCTCTGTTGTGCCTTCGCGTACCCTCCCTTGTCTCTTCTCTTCGCGTTGTTTATTGTCTGTGACGCCCCGGTCGCACTATTGTGTCTGGAGGCGATGAAACCACGAGTCCACGCAGCGGTCTGGACAGCTATACAGCCCCTGCCGGCTGAAATCGACCGATGATATCGGTTTCGGTAACGGCTCACTGCTGTTGAGACGCGTCCGCTAGGATCGGCCGGTCTCCGCGCTGTCAGATTCCGAGTCTGAGAGTCACTCTGTGATGGCGTTCGCTCTGGTGTGCTGAACGAACTCGATGATCTCACAGTGCCGAAGAGACGTGCCGATATGACCCAGCCGGGCGGAACATTAGCGGGTGTCGAACCGCCGAACGTCGTACCGATCTGCGGTCCGAACGTCTCGATTGAGATGGCGGTGAGCTCCGCGGGCTGATCCGTTCCACAGAGGTCGGCTGGGTCACGCTTCGGTCGCGGTCCGCCGGTGACACGGTGTCACACAGCGGTCCCGGGATCGATCGAACCGTGCCGCAAGCTTCGGCCGAGCACGGGGCGGGAGGTGTGTGGGTGGCAACGAGAGATACCTATTAGAAGATCGTGATTTCCTTATTTGCTAGCTAAGTTTCGTCAATCCTTTGACTCCATGACGCCGTGTCCTCGCGGTACCACAATGCTACACGCGCGACTCAAACAGGTCCGGAAAACACATTCTGTGACCCTGAGTGGCGCAAAACTGATGTTTCCTCTTCACTGACATGACTATGCTGTAGGACTGGACGGAGCCTGTTAACATCTGAACGGTGCCATTTCCCTTTTCCGCTAGCAAGTGACGTTGTTCTCCGCCTGTACCGCTGCGGCACAACGTTACCTTCATATCTGGTCTTCCCCCCCAGGTGCACCGCAGAGTCTTGCTGTGCTAATCCGCGCACAAATATAATACCTATCCCTCTGCCTTGCTGACTCGTTGCTGCCCTCCCAGTAATCGGCTGCCGCTCGGCTGGCTGGCTGATGTAGGTGGCAGCGGTAGATACGATGTCCCGAGCCGAGTCGGACACTCCCGTGGCCTGTCTAACGACCCAGAAACACAGTCACCCGGCCCAGCTGCCGCCAAGCCGAGCGGACTGGCGACTTGGCCCTAATCCACCGGCTGGCGGGCGGGCTACCACACCATGGATAAAGTATCACACAGCGAGTGGTAACTTGGACAGTGATTCCAAGTGGATTGTAGGGTTTACGACGTAAACGGATAGTACGATTTGGTGGGATGATCTCACTACTGGAACATTGTGTAGTCTGATGTCAGCACTAGGATTGCTAGCGTAATGCATAGTTCCTAGTTATTACCCTAAAGCTGCTTTAGCTATGCCCTTCAGTTTGTTGTACTATATGTGTAGCTGTAAGTGATAGGTGTGTATCACTAGCCTGTTCTGTTGTGGTAGTCTCGCATTCAAACGCTCATGCTGGTCGTTCGCTGTCTTACCTGGCACGAACACCCATGTGCTCAGTGTGTGATGTACTCGACTTACACGTGTGCTCTCTTTGTTTCAGCTCGGCGCCGCGGCTGCTGACCACATCTTCTGGCTCCGATGTGCCCCCACCGATGGCACCGCCGCCGGCCCGCCGAAAGCCAGATACGACCTGCCTCAAACGGTCCCGCATCAACGCAGGGTGAGTAGCAATTAGGAGAGGGAACTCATGTGACGTGGTGGAGGTCTTGGGAGGTGCTCAAACATATAGGTCTCAGCACACAGAGGGGCTAGTCCTTTCCTGTGGAATCGATTGGATGGTTAATGATTGTGCCTTCACGTGGACACTGATCCCAATGAAGTCAAGCCCAAATGAAGTCAAGCCATCGCTTCATTGTGACTGCGTGCTTGGTGGTTGTGTGATGACCGTCCCACGGCACGCTGTGGTCATATTGTGGGTATCCCACACAGTGCACTCTGCGGCTTTGGTTTTGCGGCGGCCGGCTGACGTGGTGGGCGTTTCTGTGTGAAGTGGACTGCGTACCATACCGCGCCGCCCGCCTGGCCAGCCGGTCGGTCGGCCTAGCTGCCTGCTGAGCGTGTCAAATGGTGCGGCCACCGGTCAGCCGGCCGGCAAATATGGACCGAGTCGTGTCCCCCCTCCCCTTGGCGTGTTACTGTGAGTCAGTCTCGTGCAGCACGGCCGCTCACGGTCACGGCACGGTAACACCGCCGTGCACGAGCTGGCCTCGGAGCATTGTGCTGGACCCCGTGCCTTTGATCCACATTCCACAGTGTACCATCCCACAAGTGTCTTTCTAAGTGTTGTGACGCCTCACTTAGTTGCGGTTTTGCTCCCGACCGCTAGCTATGCGCCGTCCTACCTCACCACATCTCACCTTTCGGCTTCCATCGGCGGCGGTTGTGGGCGATGGAGCGTGTCGCGGCTTATCTCAGACTCCGATCAGGCCCGTCACATCGCGTCGGGTGAAGAGCGAGCGGCGCCTCTCGGACCGCGCTCGGCCGCTTCTGGTGGCGCATCTGTCGGTGCGGGGCTCGATCCCGCATCTGTCACGGGCAGCATCTGTCATCTGTTGTATCTGTCACCTCTCACTGACAGGTAACAGCTACCGCCACAACTGCCATCGTCGGATTAGCGAGCTCGTTCTGTAAGACAGGTGGCGGATTGGGTAAAGCTGTCGCCTCTAAGCGAGGTTGTGTAGGTTTGGGGCTGAACACGGGTCGAGCGGGACTCTGTGGTCCTGGCCACGTGGGGTCCCAAGTCCCGAGCCCCCCAAGTCGGCCAGGTGTGGTGGTCCTACCTGGTGGAGGGGAGCGGGATTATGAAACCTCACGTCCGCCAGTGGCAGCGGACTCCCCGCACACACGCAGACCACACAGCGCGACCGCAGTCCGGTCTATTTATTACAGGCCGCGTGGGCGGCGTACCGGGGACTCCTGCCGCCCCCGCTCCCGCCCCCGCCCCCGCGCCGATGGCGAAGGATCCTTTCCTCAAGCCTCAGCCGCTGTCCAGCTGCGGCATAGTTCCAGCTTTTCTTAGTCGAACTCAAGGGCAGCTACAGGAGTCCGCCTCATGCGGAGATGACCGATGTTCTCCATGAACGCCTTTGACGCGGCGCTCAAGGTGCCACTAAGTAATGAAAGGATCGTGAGACGCCTTTCAGCATAGAGGAAGAACCGGACGTCTGCTGGTTGGCTCTTCTGTTGCGTTAGATTAATGATGTCCGACATTCGAGGCTGCTGTTTGGACAGCAACCTTGCCTGTGCTCTTCAGGGCGCTTTGAACGATCCGCTCATAACGCAACTCGCATAATCACGCGGCAGCTTAAGGCCGACCATATGGTTCCCGTGTGTTAATTACTCGCTGAAGCCTCTCTCTTTAGTGTGCGGGAGAGTCTCGTTAGGGGTCCGTCCATGTCGGTCGAGCTGAACTGAAGAGCTGGGTGTTGTGAATGGGCCGGTATGGGTCAGCACCAAGGCCGCCAGGTCGGCCGGCGGGGGCGGCGCCGGCCTGTATTTGCATGGCAGCGGTGTTGGAGCCAGTGCCGCCGGCAGGGTCTGTTGCTGTATTACAGATCAGACCGTCTTATCTCGTGTGATTTGTCCGGTAATAGGGGCCGACTTACCGTTCGGCCCTGACTGGTGTGGAGCGTGCTAACAGCCGTGGTGAGAGGTGGTGTCCGCCGAGGGCCGCCGCCCCTGGCTGCAGTGTTCCACCAGAGCGGAACAGCGGCGCGGGACTGCCCTCCCCGCCAGCACTCACCATCGTCCTCGCTCCTCGACTTGCTGACTGGTCGCCGACAGGACGGGCTCATTCAGTTCGATAGCCCGTTACGTATCTTGTCGCGATTGGTCCAAGGAATGTGCCGATGGCTCACGGCCAACTGTGATGGCACCGAACTGGAACGCTGAGTAGTTCTTCTGGTCAGATTTGTCCAGTACTCTTTGTTTGGCTCGTGCTTTACGAGGTTTTTGTATTGATTAGGCTAGGATTTTTGCATTGAAGAGGCTAGGAGATTCAGGCAGTTATCTTTCTGATAGGGTGGGCGTGGTAAAGTAAAGGTGTTTCGTGGTTTTTACTGTCGTTTTTGCTTTTAGTAACGTCTCTGATTTGATTGTAATACCGTCGTGATGGGACGATTGGCACACCCACAGGGGCCGCTCCTGGGACAGGTGCAGGATGGATGCACAACTGTGCCCGTCACGACGCTGCGCCCGAGCGGAGTCTTTTGTCAACTGTCTGAATTACCGAGTCCTATGGTCTTCGATCAACCGATGTGCCAACTCGGAACGGCTGCGCTTTACCCAAGCGGTCCTGATTTCATCGATGCGTGTCGTAACGGCGATCCATTGATCGGGGCCGCTCCTCGGCTTTGATCGCGATCTCCGAGGGATAAGCCGGTATAGTCCTCTCGCTGAGCTCACCTGAGTTTATAATGAGCCAAACGGGAGCGACGCTCTAAGCTCAGGGTATCCCTGGGTGCGGCGGCGAGGTATTATGGTGTGGCAACTACCGCGGTGGTCTTAGCTGTGGCATTAGGATGGACCTCACCGTCAGACTGGTCGAAAGAATGAACGATGAGCCGCATCAGGTCTAAGATGCCGTCTTTCTGAGATCTTGCGCTGCTGTCTGCTGGCTACGTTACTCGACGTGTTCACTGCCAGGCCAGCCGCTGATTTTGCCGATACTTTAGAAACCGCAGATCGCGTCAGACCACCCGGATACATTGTGTGTTCAGCGTTGTGCAACGTTTGTGCAGCCGGTGACCGATTGCCTGCTCCGTGCGTGGGTGACGGATCGCTGCGCTTTCAGGCACTTTCAGCTGCGGACACGTCTGCAGGTCCGTTACATGAGGCGGAGTCTGAGTTAACGTGCGGACCCCCCACATCCCTATCACGACCAGCTCCGCTGGTATCGGCCGGAGGTGCTGGTTTGCGTATATCGCCTCTACAGCTCGCTCTGCAGCGGCTGGCACGCTGTGCTGTGTACTGTTCGAGCTGTGTATTCCTGTAGCGCTAGCGGCGCTGCCTGTGTTTGCCCGGATGTGCTGTCTCGCTGTGTCGCCGTCGATGTTTGCCCCGAGGTGCCCGTGTCGGTGTCGGCGGTCGATGCCACGCGATACAGCCCGTGTGATATGGGCGCAATGACCGGGAATCGGGCCAGCCTGATAGTATCGTGTGCAGCCGTTATGCTGACAGAGCCGCGCACTGCACTGAGGGGCCGTGAGTGGGACCGAGCGACCACCGTGACGACTGCAGGCGGCCGCGCGTGGTCGGCGACTCGAGCACCCGTCCTGGGAACTCGGACAGAGGGCGCGGTCTGACCATGACGGTCAGAATTAGTGTGGAGAATAGTCAAAAGACTGCAGCCTTAGATTTTTCGGTATTCATGGTCTTTTCAGTCCTCTGTGTCTTTGTGAAACGTGCGGTCTCATTTGCGAAATTCCTGAACGGCACTGCCTGGTGGCGTTTCGCAACCGTCTGGTCGGGAACCGAGAACGTCGCTTTTTCTGGAGCCCTGCTGACCTAAAAGTGGCGGAACAGAAGGCTGGACGTCATACTCGACTGCCGCGAACGCCGAGACAAGAGGGTTGCATCATGGTCCGCTTTAGCTCAGTCCCCGAGCGGTTTGGCCCATTGTTGTCCCGGGTCGCGGCCGCGTCACGGGCGACATGTCAATCTAGTGACCTGTCACGGCTGTCTGCCTCGTGTCGCCGATGATGTGAGGATACCTGACGCTAGATTGTTTCTTTTCAATTATTGACGGCTGTCACGAGCCAGGCATCAAGCCTTTCAGACTGATATCGTTTTGAAGGTTGTTATTTTGCCCCCTTTCGCAAATTATTCCAACCACCTTGACCCGAGATTGTTATTTAGCGTGGCTGCTCTACAGCTGCTGGGGTTCCACCCTGTACTGCTAAGACCACCGGCTGCTACGAAGGACGATCTCTGTGATAATGTGCCCATCTCGTGTCGCCCCAGACCTCGGCGCGCGGCCCGGCGGCAGATGGCCGCCGCGGTCCCCGAGGCGCTCCTCCTCACACCCGCCGCTCCCCCCGGCAGCAGACGTTGCCACACGCCACCATTCGCGTGGCACGCCGCAATTAGCACCAATGTATCATCATCATAGACTTTATGAAGCAATGTGTTAGAGCGTGCGAAGGTAAAGTGGAGCAGGAGCGGCGTGTGCCTGTTCGATCTGAAACTGGCTTGGGGATTCTACATTTCGAGGGTGGATGCGTAAAGTCCTGAATGAGAAGTAACAGCACCTGCCGTTCTTTGCCTTTTGCTATCTATGTCCTTTTATTCCGTCTTTACCTGCTGCCATCTACATAAATCTCGGCGTATGCCTTATTCTCTCCAACCTTTTCCTTCCTGTGCGAGCTTCGTTGGCAACTGCTGCGCGCTGGTTGACCTTCAGCAGATGTCCCTGCCCGGCGGCGGTGGCAACGTCGCAGTGCGGGCCTCTGAAGGTACAGCACCGCCGCCCCCGCTGCCTCGGCCGCCGGTGGGCGCTGTTTGAATGGCGCTCTCGGTGGCCGTTTGGAGAGGAGTGTCGCCGAGATCCGGGAGTGGCCGCCCGGGGCCGGATGCCGCCTCTCGCGGTGTGTCGCCGCGTGTGGCGCCGGCCGTGTAGTGTGTGTAGGGTGTTTGCAGTGTGCGCGCGGCCTTGGCAGCGCTGCGGCCGCGTATTGTCGTGGTCACGCTGAGCTGCTGCCGCTGCGGTCACTCGCCGTCAGCCGCCGATTCCCAGACAGATCTGGGTCGGCGCCGCCGCGGTATCACAGGCGCGGCAGATGGCAGATCGCCCCGGGATCCAGTGTTCCGCTGACCCGGTCAGCGGAACGCCGGTGGACACTCGGCGGGAAGGGATGGTCGTGCGCTTGTTGTGTTTATTGAGCACATACTACGCATATGTGCCTACAATTGGCAATTGGCTCTGTAGTGAGAGAGGCTACAGATGTCTTGTAGTTTGAGTTGTGTCCATTCCCATTCTGTTTCCTGACGATGTATTTCGTGGCTGGCTACGTGTTAACAGCCGTTGTGACGCAACACCGTGGCTATATGTCTGAGCACGTGCGTCCCGGCTGATTACGTGTTCCGGCATTGTGTCCGGCGCCACGCCGTTTATTGTTCCTTTTCACGTGCGTTGCGCGTGACGCCTGCCCCGGCTTTCATGTCCCGATCGAGCCAGGTCGTGCCGTTCCGTTCGAGCTTCAGCGAGCACCGTGCCCCGCGTCACTCGGCCGCCGAAAAAAGCGCTGACTGGACGTGATAGTTCTGCCAGTGTTTGGGTCAGTGTCTCGGAAAGCGATCGCTGCTGCTGTCGGTTTGTCGACTGTTCTCTCGGCGGCCTTTATTTGGTTCTCCGCAGACCGAGAGGCGACGATTTCACATATCACGGCGTCCACAGCTGTTTGATGTTTCAGTGTGTAGATGTTTCACCACTGAATGTCTCGGAGACAGAACTGGCAACATACGGCAGTTGGCGCTACGCACGGGACAATCTCGCCGCGCCGCGTTCGTCGCTGGAGAGAGTGCCTCTCGCCGCGTGTCGCATTGTGTGCGTCGTTTTGTGCGCCATCCCTGTGTAGTGCGCCGCTGCTTGCCACAGCTCGTCGCGATGACAATGGTGTCGGTCGGCGGCTGGTGCGGCGTCACCAGTCGTCCCTGGCCTCTCCGTCATCGTCGCGTCTCCCTCGTTAGCCGCTCTGTGTGAGATCTGAGGGCGGTGACGGGCAGAGGAGAAATCTGCGAGTTTAGTCAGGTCGTGGCAGGGCGGCGGCCGGTCCCGACTCGGGCCCGTGTATCGGCGCCTTGTCGGCCGGGGCGGAGTCGGCTGATGGTCGGCTCATTCCGTTCATGTCGGCTGGGTCACGGCACACCATCCCGTGCGGAACACTGGAGACCAGCGCGGCCGTTCGACCTGCTCCGAGACGGCGCTCCGGAGAGAAACCCGCTGTGATGGGCGCTGTCAGGACGGGCCGCTGATGGGAATACGGGCTGTCATAACCGGCGCCCGACTCGGTACGCTGATGGGGATTCTCCTGTCAGAATGGGTTCGGTACGCCGCGCGGGGCCCGTTCGACTGACCCGAACTCTCTCCGCGGGGCCACATGCCGGGCCGCGAGACATGTGGAGGGTTGGTCTCCAGCAGGCCACATATCACACCAGGTCGCTGACTTGTGGAGCGATGTTCGTGTCAGCGCTCAAATTTGTTCTCGTATGGCATGACGTGATTGGGCGACCCAATTCTCAAACGGGTTCCAGGATTCCACATGCTTGTATATGCACATATTCACGTATTTTGTCGGAACAGGTTTTCGCGGTGTGGGCTTTCTTCGTTTCCCATCGGATTAGAATAGCGCAGGAGGGTCTTAATGGCTTTGACGAGCCGTCCGACGGCTTCTGGCACGACTTCTGTCTTCATTTGTCTTTTGGCACTATCTTTCTTATTATCTTCCCAGAAGTCATTGTAAGTTTCCAATCCATTAGCCGGAGACAAATTAGATCCTATGTTTCGAACGTCGCTGAATAGTGGATTCTCTTTTTTCTCTTGCCGCTTCTGACATCAAGGACAATGAAGTCAACCCCCATCTTCCTCTCCTATGCGATAAGTCGTAGATTATGTAGTAGATTCCCGCTTTTTTCTTTCTAGCTATTGGATGACCCTCGTTTTCCCTTGCGTGTGAACTGAGCCATGATTAGCATGACGTGACCTTCCCCTCCAGCGGGTGCGAGCTGAGACACGACCTGACGTCTGCTCCCCTATTTAACGTGCCTAGCGGTGACCTGACCTTAGTCTGATCCCATTCCCTCCCCTTTCCAGTGGCTATGAACTGAGCCATTTATTCTCATGTTCTCTGAAATCTGCTTCAACGACTGTGTGATATACGTGTCCTTTATGTACTTTGACACTGTGGCGGTAAAAGCCAACATTGTTGGATCCCACTAAGACATGCAATAAATAAATAAATAAATAAAAGCCATGACTTGACCTGACCTGACCTGACCAGACCAGACCCATTTCTTTCTCCCTCAGGTACGAACTTAGTCATGGCCTGACTTGACCTGACCTGACCTGAATTGACCCCCTCTTCTACCCGCAGGTACGAGCTGAGCCATGACCTGGCCGAGCGCCAGGTGGCCTGTCTGGAGCGGCGCTACGGCGGCCGGCGCGCGCGTCGCGCTGCCATCATCATCCAGCGCGCCTACCGACGCTATGCCCTCGACAAGAAGTTCCGAGCCATCACACTGTCGGCCAAGTCGGATCGGCGCCTGTCGCGGCGCTTCGAGGTGCCGGCCGCGTGGCGGCAGCCCCCGCCGCCCGTCCGCCACGCGGCCATGTCCCGCCAGACCTCGGGAACGTCGGGTCACAGCAGCGGTCTGAACGGCAGCCTGGAGAACGACTCGGACCTGTCCGACCGCGAGTACCAGAGCTATGGCTTCCTGAACGACTCGACCTACCTGAGCGAGTACTACACGCCCCCCTCGTCGGCCGGGCTGGGCGGCCGAGGAATGAACGGGCTCGGAGCGCCCACAGGAATCTACATGGTGAGTTTAGTGACGGGTGGGTGAGCTAGGGCGCTGGGGTTGTGTTCATTTATTACACAGAAGGTAGTTTACGACGATGGAATATATTCATTCACAATTGCGAAACGCATGGAATGTGAGACGCCGACGCCGACGAGTTTGAATCTGAGTTTGGCCACGCACGCGGAAGCACCGGGGGCGTATTTAGCGATGATAAGTGGTATCAGACATTCCGCTGGAATATGCATGTCCCACGCCCATCTCACATTAGCGAGACGAACGCATAATAGCCGGGTGCGGTGCGTCGGGCGGCGGATCGACGCAGGTATCTGAGGGCGATCTTTTCTGGACGCTTGGTGGGCTCGGCGCAGCGGGCCTGTCTCTATGAGGCTGATTTGTAAATCGGTCCAGGTCTCGGAACAGCGGAGGGGCGGGGCGGCCCCAGCGGGTGCTGGCCGCGAGCTGCTCGCGCTAGGAGTGGTAAATGGCCTCGGAGCACCGCCCCGCGTGACCTGGGGCAGAGGTGCTGGCCCGCATCGCTCGGCCGACAGGTCTCTGAGGCACCTAGCCAAGCGCACATCCCCTCAAGATCAGCCCAAACCACTACCCGTCCTTGGGAAGCCAGCCGTTACGGTCCTGCCTTAGATAGGACCCCGCTCGGAACATGGACCAACTGTTCTTCTTTGAGTTCACGGTGGACTGGGGCGGCGTTTCATGGCCACCTTTTGTAACATCTGATTCAAGGCACGTGCCCACTGTGCGGCGTTCAGTATTCTGAGTATTCCTGGACTGGCATGGCGGCGCCGCGCCTATGCCGCCGTTTGATGGAGCCGACGCATGGCGATAATACGGGCGCTTCCGCCGCGGACAGTGTCGCGTTTGATGCCGCCGCCGCCTGGGGCCCCTCCACGGCGGTGATTCTGTGTTCTGTTGCGGCGGCGGTTCTGTGTACTGTTTGTTTATGTGGGAACTGTGGGACCGCCGCCGCCGCCGCCGCTGCCTTCCGTCCCCGTCACCTGGCCGGTGGACAGGTGTCCAGTGTCCAGCCGGCGGCAGGCGGCTGGACAGCTGTGTGACCCAGTGACCGTATCTGAGTCGGACCGACGCACGGCCGACCGCCGGCGCTAATAGGACTGGGTGGCGCGTGCCGCTCACTTCCGGCCGGACAGGATGATGACAGGGGCGGGCAGAGTGGACGGTGGTGACGGACGGATTCGGCGCCAATGACGGACGGGTGTGACGGCGGAGACGGGCGGATGCGCCGTTTGCGTGGGACTGTGCCGCTCTGTTGACGTCGAATGCCGCCGAACCGACGTGCCTCGCATTCTGACAGGCTATCGACGGCGACGCCGTTATTGGCGACTTGTCATTACGCCGTCTTCGGACTTGGCCGTGGGAAGACCACGCTGTACGAAGTGGGGTAGAGAATAGGAAAATCGAGACGTAAACTACCACGCTCATGTAACACCACGCTCTGGTTCCGTGCGGATTTTTGTGACTCCCGTCACGCATCATTTTTTACCCACTAATCTCTTTCCTACGTCATCTCGCTTTGTGTCTGGACGGTATCCCTCCATCTGTAACCGTTGTGGTTATTGCGGTCGGAGAAGTTCCTGGTTTTGTCACATATCTACTGACCACGTCATCGTGAGTGCGTGCCGCTCTGTCGCATTTGCATTGTGCTATATTTCAAGTCACGACCCTTTCGGGTTCGGTGCGGACATTGCGTGCTGTGCTGTCTATGCAGAACTGCCGGCCACGCTACGTAGCCAGCCGGGCCGGTTGGTGGGGTGATCGGGTAGAATGAGGAGCTAATGCGGGGTTTCACCGGCCGGCACCGGGCCTGCTCCGGGAATAGACAAGTCAGGGGTGACACCTCACTGCGCGCCGCGGCGCTAGAGCGGCCCCTCGCTTTGCAAGACAGGAGAAGGTGGAGAATGTGGTCGATCTTAGCAGGCTTGTGACAGGGGCCTGGGGTTCATGTTTGGTTGGAGTCATGGAGTGCCAGGGAGAGGGGCTCAGGCTGACGTTGGGCACGTGATCGGTGTGTCGAATTCACGTGACCGGGACCGGTTGGGATGGATTCGCCCACAGAGGTAGTAGTCGCCACCCGCCGCAGGACAGTAGCGAACCCGGCTCTGATGGGAGCTGCCTCTCCGCCGCGCTGGGATGAACCGATGCGTTATCGCGGCTCGAAGGTCGATGTATCGCTAATGACGAATGTCACTCCGAGTCTGCGTCCTCCAAGAACAGTGCTTCCTCACCGCCGCCGCCTCCGCCGCCGCTGCTATGTTCGCCGCTGTTGTTACGGGCAGACCAGTCGCTACCGCGGCTGCCAGTGCATAACAATCGCTCCGGCCTGAACAACCTGTGAATAGGACGCTAATGGGGTGGCGCCTTATGCGGAGCCGGCAGAGCATATGCATAGGGATGTGTATAAATATGCGCGCGGATTGACACGGACGGAATGGTTCCGTCGAGATAAGTGATTGGAGGAGAAGATTGGATGGCATTTGTCGATACTCACTTAAAGCATCGGTGAGCTTTTATAACGCCTGAATGAGAGGAGGACGGGCGTTGTGCTGGCGGTGGCCTTGAACTCAGACCATCCTCTTACCATGTAAAACAGCTCACGCTTTGAGGATTGGCTCCGAAGAATCTGTGAAGCAGATGAAGCCCTGCCTGGATTTGCCCGCTGTTTTATCTCACACCGGCCTCGAAGCTCGCATGAAAAAAAAAATCCATCGTAACCATGGCACCTCATAACTTCATTCCTCTGCCGACCGTGTGCAAACTCATGACTACATACTGGCCATGAAGATTTTTCAGTATTCCCCCGCTATCATACCCCACACACACATCGCCATGGTGACGGGACCGTAACCGGCCGCCGGCGATCTCGCCTGTCCGCACTGCCACGTTTCCGGGCCACTCGTGGGTTACGGCCCGCTGGCGCCCGCCGGCTCGGAGCGGTCGACACCGATGGCCATAGACACGTTCCGGCACAGTTCCGCTGAGAATTGGAAATTGCGTACTATTGTGGTGTCTGTGGTGGTTGGATGGCCATGATCATCGATGTTAGATTGAATTGTGGTGATGCTGCTAGTTAGTTGGGCAGTCTGTTTCTCTAGTCGCTCATTCATGTGATAAGAGCCGCTATTCATAAAGGAACTTGTGGGTGCTCTGTACTTCTTCAGTCTTATGTGACTTGAATGATTGGTTGTATGTATCGCATGTTCCTTCTGCTTTGACTCTACCCATTCCCCCTCTCCCAGGGTGACCACCAGCGAGTAGCGGCACCGGGCGGGGGCGGGGGCGGCCGGCGGCGGCAGCGCGGACCGCCGCCCGAGCCGCCTCACCGCACCACCTCTGTGTCGTGTTCTGCCATGCCACGACCGCTGGATGCTGCCAGCTCGAGCAGTGAGAGCAGCCTGGCCTCGGCCGGACCGGTCAGCACATCTTCACCGGTGATGCGCCGCCGCTCGCAGGTCAGTCGAGAGGGAGGAGAGTAACGAGAGAGAGGGAGGATGGGGAGAAAAGCTTACTTTTCGTAAGTATAGAGGGCTGGGGAAAACGAGGCAGCTTCTACCAAAATGTATCATTTTTATACTGTCTACAGTTTACGTACACTGCAAATGAAATGACAGTGAATTGCGGTACTGGTAGCGGTCCGGATCCACTTATTGTCAGATTGTGGATTTTACCTACCATTGCATAGCCTCTGACTGGTTTGCGTATGGCCTAGTTTTTTTTTCTCGGTGTGATAAGATTTGCTTTCCAATTATCCACATTGAGTCCGAACAATTTTTGCATTGATCGGGGTAACAATGTTGGTTTGAACGAGGAGTGCCAGGTCGTGCAAATAGTTTTCCGACCAGCCACTAGTGAAATTGGTTGACCTTCCTATACACTAAAAATGTTCGATATTTACTCTCTTGTACCCATTGTTCCAGAGCAGTTCCCAAATCGTTAATTTCCGATGGGCAATATATGTCCGACAAAGTAATGAACCCAGGTTTATTGTCGGTGCTTGCGATTTATTTACGAGCGTTTCCTGGCTTTCGTGCGCTATTCCATTGTCGTTTTCCTCCCCAAGTGCGTGTATTCGGTAATTTATTTCAATTTGCGATCAATTAACCGGTATTATTGTTTGTTTCGCTGCCAGGCAGGTTGAGACACGGATATATCCCTATTAAGCAATTCAGCTTTCTGATCCTGCTGTTGTGGTGTGATCGCATAGTGATTCTGTTTTATTGAACATTTATGGCTGTCTTCATTTAGAACCGGATGTAGGAAGTATGTTCAATTTAAGTTACATCACAGTATCGAGCTTCACATAGGAATACGATATCATGACGTACAAAGCTGTTTCCTGTAGCTTACGCCTTTCACAAACCTAGTCTGCAATACGCCACCTTCAGTGAGTGATTTATCGGGTCGGCCACTTCAATTATTTTTCTCATAGTTCCTCATTGAACAAGTACTTATACCGTCGTCTTGACGATGCTTTCTATACTATTGCTGTGTGTCTGTCAAACATTTTCTCTGTGCTGTTGCATTGCCCGGTCGATAGCGTAATTCCTCACTGGATCGTAACAAGAAAACGGTGACGGCTCTCTTCGTGATAACTCCGCCACGGCCACCGTGACGGATTCGTCACGATATCAGAGCGGCGTCACAGTGACGGTCAAACCGTCACTGTGTAACCTATTGCTCTAACCGCGGTACGGGCGATGTCCACATTGACGCTGAGCAGTGAACAGCGAACACAAGAACTATCTTTGTGCAATGGGTATCCAACATCGGCGGTAGTAATGGAGAGCTATGAACGCATTCTTGAGTGGCTATTTGAAAGGCGGTGACGGATTTTAGAGAAGAACGTACCCCACTCTAAAGCTTTTCTGCCTATCATCATTGCCCAGCTGCCGTCAACTGCCAGGGGCTGCAGCGATCAGGGCTGCACCAGCCGGCCGTTCGGTCAGCTCACAGCTCTCCCAATAGCCGGTGTGCCAAGGCCAGTGAGCGATCTCAGAAACCCGAGAGACCCATAAACCTCGTCCCGCTGGCGGCGGTGTGTCCATGGCCCGCCTCTGGCCGAGTGTTGCAGAGGTGCACTGTGTACGATGCTGCACGTGCCCGGTGAGCGGAGACAGCCGGATTGGTCACCACCGAGGCGGGGAGGAGCTGCATTTTGTCCTCTCTCTGGCTGGATTTTGTAAACCGACCGGCCGGCCGGCAGTGGGCGGTGAGCCGGACGCTTGGCTACCGGCCGAACTTTGCGGACCGGTGTATGGAGCGCACTGCCGAGGCCAGTCCGAGCCAGTTACGCAACGGTGGCGGAGCGCGCTTCGATTAGCCTATCGTTGCCGGACATCAAGGAAATGCGCCGGTGAAAGGGAAACCACTGCCGGCCACGAAACACGGCCGTCTTGGAGCGTGCACCGGCCGTGAGCGAACGGCACGGACAGCCGGTCGGTCGGACGGTCGGATCACTCGACCGAGGCACAACGTCACCGCAGACGCCGCCACGGCGGTATACGGGAGCAAAGCGGAACGGACCGTGTTTACTGTTTATTGAATTGGTGGGTCATCGTTTACCGCCCAGCTGCCACTGCCCGCTAACCGCTCCGCCTCTGGTGGCCGCTGTGACCTCCCGATGACCCCGCTGACCTGACCTGTGACCCGTCGGCACGTGACCGGCCACCCTGCTGATTACTCTGCTGACTCACGGCCGGGTCAGTCCGGTAAACAGCTGCGCACAGTGACCAACTGACCACTTACCGCAGCCGTCTGCCAGCTGTCGTCACATCTACATAGTTTATCCTCTGACACCGCTCTTGCGCTCGGCTCCGCCTGCAGTTTCGCCGCCCGGCTGTCCCGCGACCCGCCGTTTGACCTGTGGCCACATGTGTGCCCCCGGGCGACACAGGTCACCGCTGGGAATTGTAGGGCCGACGTTACGCTGCCGCACCGCTGAGGTCACTGCAAGGGTCGCGCTCGCGAAGACGGCGGGGACGGTTGGCGTGTGTCCGTCACCTGCGCAGGCTGTGGATGTGATGGGGGAGGGTGGCGCAATAAAGCAGTCGTCTAACGATTGGTCGTCACGAACAGGTGACACGGGATGGGGAGGAGGTTATTGAGGCTCTGGTCATCTCGCGGTGAGTGGGATGAGTCAGTGTGGGCGCCGTCACTGGGCTAAGCGGCTGCCGGCGTGAGAGAAAGCTTCGTTCACATGGTCTTGTCAAGGATGTGGATTTAGGTACAATATATACTTTAATCTCTCGCCATAAATTAAAAACGTATCCTTGTTCGATAACCAACACCGTAGTCGCAGTAAGTGTCGTTCAACCTAACGGCTTCCCGTGTTTTTGTGTGCTCAGCTGAGATTGGTTAGTTTGGGATTAATTGGGTGCCAGTTGGGCGATTCGGCGCGATAGGGACGGATGTGACCGATGGCTCCAGTCTGACCGATGATGTCGGGGCGGTTCGGTTCGATCGGTCAGCCTGCTGCTCCGGCGGCAGAGGGTGTAGCGATATTGTTTGCTGATCGATCGGTGAAGAGTTTGGGCGCCGGAAGCGGTTCAACCGCCTCTGGATGGATGATTGTGCTCGGAGTTCTTTACTCAGCAGGGCTGGTCTGGAGGAAATTAAACAGGAGCTGATCACGTATTAAAAATGGCAGATGTTTCCTTAATCCTACCCACAACGGTAGCATGAGTTCCAGCTGCACCACAGACGGTGTCAGAACTAAAACAGCTGTGCCTGCAGAGCTGACCCCTGGCCATGAGTCACGTCCGGGAGTCGCTGTCATGTCAGGTGACAGCTGGTGACGGTCCGGTTAGTCCGTCTGGTGACAGCTGGTGACGGTCCGGTTATTTCATCTGGTGATAGGGGACGGACAGCTGACATCGCTATGACGTGCCCGACGGCCTGCCTGTCTGTTCGTCAGTCAGTCACTTGTCGGGCTAACTCCTACCTGATCTGGTAATCCAGTCAGACTAACGGATTGTAGGTCACGTTATCCACCACCTGAACCGAAAACTTTGTCTTGTCCGCTCACGGTCAATTCCTGAGCTAAGGCGCCAAGCGCTGTTTTCTAACTGTAAAATCTTACCGACACCCACCCACCCACGGTACGGGTGAGTTGTGTATTGAGATGTCGATACGCAGTGTGATGAACGATCTCATTTGGAGAGATTCGAGCCACAGAACAATGCTCGGCTTTTTGTGGTGGATCATAACGCCAGGTCACGGAGCAGATCGTGAGGCTCGACAAACTACACGGTGTCCAGTGAGGGGGTGTAATTTTGATGTGTGGGTGAACGGTGTTCAGTGCGTGTGAGAGCGAACGGGCATAAGAGACTGGTTCGTTGTCAACAAGCTTCCACGAAGCTTGACGTGACTGTATTGACAGAACTAGAGGCAGTTGTAAGGTGGGACCTCACCAGCGATTCCCGACCACCACCTGGACTTGTGGTCGGTTTGGAATGGGTGCTTGGATGTAGTCCCCACCATTGTCTCCCGCGTTTATCGTACACACATCGTCCTTCCTAAGGACTGGCCGTTCGGTGCTCGCGTCATAACCACACCGAATTTCCACATTTTATAGCTGACTGGACACTCTACCTGTTGTCCGCGTATAGCCCCGACAACCGTTTACTCATAGTCCATTTCCACACACTCCTGGCTAGTTGTCAGATGTTATTTCTCCCCATTCGCCCGCAGGTGTGGGTAATGGGTATGCAAGTGGGCTGTCAGTGGTAATACCCCTGCCAGGTGTTTACCGACCGGGGCACGGGGGAGCGGGGTTAGGGCGCGGTCCAACACCAACGGTTCAACACACACCACCGCTACCACTGCAGGGCCAGTTCTGTAATTAGGCGGGTCTGGACCACGCCCATAGCTGGTTAACGGGAGATGTAGATTGACACGCCCGTGAGGAGTGATTCATACCCTCGTCGAGGGTGCAGATCCGGCCCGCCCGATACCCCGCATCTGTCTTGCATCGTTGCAGTGTTGATGAAGCGACCCAGTCCAACGCATGGGGACTCCAGGACGGGTGCCCTGCGCCTTCCTTCCATGATGGTGGATCTGCCCTATCCTGTCTACGTGGGCCGCTCTATCTTGACCATGTGGGCTGTTCTATTCTTGCCTCATGGACCGTCATATCCGTGCCGTGTGGGCTACCCTATCCTACCGAGTGGGCAGACAGTATCGGGTGGACTGAAGGCTAACCTGGCCTTGAGGAGGAGACCGCTCCATGGGCTCACTCTGAGTAATGATGCGCTGCGACTGGTTCTTTGCTGGTGCTCAGTGAACTGTGAGCGGTACAGAATCGGTGTGGGGAGGCCGGCTGTCGGGAGCTGGCTTGCGTGATGTCATAGAATGCTCTGAGGCATATATAAAGAGGTTCTGCCTGATGAATTTGGGGGAAGGCGATACCGATATTGCGGGAAGTCTTACCGATATCGTGCGTAGATTGCCATTAAATATGCTATGTGCCGTGCACCGGCGCACTTCTGAATATTTACCGACGGCGACGCAGGAGAGAGGGCGGCCAGCGATTGGCCTATGTCGCAAGGGGTGCGTGTGAGTTTCACGACGCCCCGAGTGCCGGGTCAGGGGTCGTGACCTGCTATTGACCGGGTCATCTGATCCGGGGTCGGCCGGCGGCGGCGCGGCCCCCCAGTGACCTGCTGTCGGACGGGAGCCAGTCACGAGAGGGTTCGGAGGTGTCCCGGTCACGGCACTGGTGTCTGATCACGATCGGACCCTTCTCTGGCCGCCGCAGCGAGCGGCCTTGTGTCTCTGAGTAGCCGTGACCGCGGCCCGGGATCTCCAACACGTCACGAGCTGCCCCGCGGTCTGAGCCGGGCCCACTCACCGTGTGATCGCTGGCCGGTATCACGGTATCGGCTCCGGCCAGCGGCGACACTCACCTGTTCCACGGCGGCCCTGTTTATCGCGCTGTTTAGCGGTGTTCGCTGCCTGTAGCCGTACCGTGCCCCCGGCAGTCGCGTGGCGGCCGCCCCCGGCGCTTCGGCAGCGCCGCTCACCACCGCTTTCACACGCTTATTGCCAGGCGGCCGCAAAGAAAGCGCGAAATTTGCTCCTCTGATGAGAAGCATTTCGTTTCCGTCGCTGTTTCGGACAGTTTCGGCCACGTTTCGTCCGGTTCCGGCGGCGCTGGGTAGTTTCACTGATTAATGATCTCTCATAGAGGTGTGGGCGGCTTTGGAAGCGGTCCCATTCTCGCCTCCGCTGTCACTAGAGAGAAGTAGTGAGCCCCCAGGCCTGCAGGGCTCGTGTGACGCCGCCACTTCATTAATGTAAAAAATCATCCACTTCCACTTGTCGGCGGTATAGCGCGCTGCGGAAAGGAACGGCTGGGAGGAAATTTGGATTTATGTCCCCGTGAATGTGGTTCTATCCCTCGTATCGGCGAATGGCCTGCAGCGGACTCCAGGCCGCAGTGTTAGCTGGAATGCAAGGCAGCCTGGTCCGGGACTGCAGCGCCCCGTGTCGATAACGCTCCGATGACTTGGGCGGCCTCCTCGCCGCTAGCTGGGCGGCGTCATCAGCGCGATGGCGCCCCGGGTGGCCGGCCGACGTGCGTTTATAGCCGTGTTCGCTGACTTTAAACCGCTGCCGCCGGCCCGAGGTGCCGACCACGCAGCCTTGGCGCTCAGGCGCGGGGGCGGAGGCTCATAAGGCACGCCGGAATGGAGGGAAGCCGCCGCCGGGCGGCCCGCCCCGCCTCGGCCCGGCGCGGCGCAGAAGGACAAATGATTTAAACGGCGATTTGTAAGAAGAGGCGGCTGCCGGCGCGCCGGAGACGTCCCACGTCGGTCTGGGATGACGGACGGCCGGGTCGGGTCATGTCGGGTCAGGGGCCGTGGGGATACCTCGCGCGGCTTTCAGCCCCGGGACGTAGCTCTGTTGTGTCAGCCTGCAGTGACACCGTGCGTACCTGCAATTCGGCCGTGACCCGCCCCAGTGGCTCCCAACGGCGGCCGCAGCTCGTGACAGGGCAATTCAGGCCCAGAGATGGATGTCACCTTGTGTTTGGCTGTTTGAGACTCTTCCTCTGAAGTATCAACCCCCGGCAGTAGTTCTAGAGTTCTAGGTGATATTTTCTGCCGCCGTCTCCTGCAACACGAAAAGGGAACGAGGGACGACCATATTTTCTCACAATGCAGCCAGCCATGATTTTAGCTGTCGAAGCCAACGCCCTGTGTCAGTGACTCTGACTGGATTTTAGCGTTGTTTCAAGCTACCTCTTAACGAGTCACTCTGGTGTAAGTCCAGGATTTATCGCCAGTTGTGCGCCTTTCGGTCGTTTTTCGATCGCCCCGCGCCTGGTTCCGGGAGCGGCTCAGAAAGGTGGCCACGCGTCTCGGTCGCGGAGAAATCGGGTGATGTATGGCCGGGACCAGCTCTGAGCGGAGCGCCGCAGCCGAGGCCGAGTCTCCGGTTCCCAGCCGAGAGTGGTGTTTTACCCACCGGCCTGGGACGGCTTGTCCCCGCCAGCGGCGCGTGCTATGGCAGGCGCGTGCGGCTTGCACGACCGCCCCCGCCTGCCGCCGGCCGCTCTCCCTGAGGCGCTGGGAAACGCGTGCCGCATCTCGTAACATTTCTCAGACATTCTCCGTAAGTGGCGGTTGCTGAGGAAATCTCACGGCGTCACTGTTGCCTTGTAGCTCACGGAAGTGGGCTACTCAACAACTGGTTAGTGATACGCTCGTGATTTGCTGGGTAGTGTGTCATTTCGGAAACAATTTCAGCCAAAATAAATAATTCTGTTTATCTTTCCTCTCCAACAATGAGGTAAAAGTGCATTGCGCCAGCTATTGCAGTGTGTTTTGTTGTGATGCTCCTCAGCCTGACCCGTGTCTCCCTGCCCTGTTGCAGAGGTCATCATCGAGCCACTCGAGCGGCGGCCATCGCACGCTGCCGCGCACCCAGAGCGACTCGGCACCCCCGCCTAGCGACCAGGTGGACCGAGTACCACGTCTGGGTGACCCGCGTCCCGCGCCGGCCGCCGCTGTCAGCTACAGCAGTTGCAAGGTGAGTGTCCGTCCCAGACTCCTAATTTCGAGATGATCATCACAACATTGACGTAAAGATGTCCCAGCCTCTTTCCGTCTGTTCGTTTTATTTATCTGTTCCCGGTGTGCGCTCCGTGTAGCATCTCTCCGCTGTGCTCCCTCGTGTGTATGCTGTTCACATCGTCGTGGGTACAGCGTCTCGCATCATCGAACCGCCGTTGACGGCGTATTTCTGCCGGCTGCAGTTCTCACGCAATAGTACTCCGCCAGAACGAGTTGTTGGTGTCCAGTGATGCAACGTCAGACGATTCACTTTCCAGCAGTTCCGCTTCAACTCTCCTGAATTCACTTTCCTGTGGTATGTCCCAACTCAGCTGCATCCTTTATAGTTCTGTCCGGGTCATTGACCGCGCTGTGTCGGGCAGTTAGCTGACCTCTGTCTCTCTCGGCGCACCTCTCGACTTGGGTTCGGTAATTATGGTGGCAGTTTGAGTCTGTTCATGTAACGTGCATGTAGCCTGTAGGTAACATGCATAGGTAATAGGTATGTTCATACGTGGATCATGTAAAGTGTTTTGTACCTGGTGAACTGTATGTATGTACCTACCTCGTGCCTATTTTCACCGTAACGCCCACGTTTCTGTGGTTGGTGAAAATAAATGAAATAATAATAATAATAATAATAATAATGGAGGGTTTATGCGTGGAGTCGACGGTGCGGCCCGGCTAATCGTCCCGTGTGTTCCATGGATGACACTGATGTGGTGAAAAGGTGACTTCATATCACCGGAACTCCCTCCAATTGCTTCATTGAGGTCACCAACCGACCAAGCGGCAGGCGTCAGTTACACGGTCACACCTGTTACAGGTGTTTGTTTGGGGACACACACGATACTCAGGTGTTCACTGTTGAGGATGAGGATGTCTTTTGTGTAGCATCCTCCGTTTACTTCTCGGGTGTTGGGAAGTTTTCCGCTGCCCGCGGCTGTTTGATTGTGTGCGTGTTTTACTATCGTAACTCATGCATCATGCTCACAAAAAGGCGGGTTCATTGACAACCCCCTTCGAATTAAGATCGAGCACAAAGGTTGGCACCGTTTGTATTGATCGTGATCCGTTCGACACCTGGTTAAACTGGGGTATGTTTATTGTTCGTAGCTAGTTACCAGGTGGTGACCTGTTTATGTCTACCGGGTTCCGGGCTAGTCTCGTCGCGAAGCGGAACTACAGTCATTCCAGGTGTGCGCACCTGATCAGGAACTGAGTTGGATGACAGTTCACCTGAGCTTTATGTCATCGCACCTGTGCCGTAACTATCGTAACTAGCAAGTCGTGATAATGGTCTGGAGACACTGGATACACCAATAATCCGGGTTGACTCAGAGCTGGGACCGGGCGTGAACCTGGTATAAAAGCACTATTCCATCTTCCGCACCCTCTCCTTCCGCCGCCTCTGTTATCGGTAGCCGCTTGGTACACGTCTGGAGCGGTGTATTGGCACTCGGAGCAGCGACTGGGCTGCGTGCCATCGTCTCCCCTCCGCCACGTGCGCAGTGCGGTGTTCCGGTGCCGAATTTAGCGCCGGCCGGTGGACGGCAGACACCCCGCTCGGCCGGTCTAAATCGGTATCTGTGCCGTCGCTCCCTCGCCGCTGCCGATGGAGACTGATGAAGCGGTGCTGTGCGTTGTGCTGCGTCTACTCTGGTAGACGCAGCACCTCCTCGTACCGTCCACGAGCCAGCCGTTGTAGCGTCTCTAGCTCGTGACGATGAAGGCCTCGACACGTTGACACTGTGACACCTTGTGTAGAATCGTTACTTTTTCAGACGGAGAATCTCGCCGAGAGAGCGATGATAAGGGTCATTGGGAGGGAGACGGGTGTGGTTAGGCGTGGGTGATCTTTCGTCGGAGGTCAGCCTTTGATATGGCGGCCTTTCTAACTGATTCATCGCTCTCTTTAATTGATTTATCGCCCAGCTTTCACGTCATGTAGGCAGCCTCGTTTTTTGGGCGGTGCCGATCAAATAAAAAGCGATTTGAATTAAGATATTGGTATTAAAAAGATGTTACTGCTGAAATCCGAATGCCTCATACTATTTTTGTGCCAAATCTTGAAGCAATATCACTTAATTCATGTGTAATAGTGCTGAGTGCATAACACTTTCGCAAACTGACCTGTGGAAGCCATTTTGCTCACAGGCATTGCGCTCAGCATTGCTGCTGCGTTGCGACTATAGCAACAGGGCTGCATTTCTTTTGCAAACACCGGATCCCCGATTGCGCGATGCTCAGCATGCCATAACGGTTCCTTCCCTGTCCAGCAGCGTCCTTCAGCCCCGTCTCTGTCGTTGTGCTGGTGTTGAGTGTTGACGTGGCTGACCGCAGCGGGCCGGGTGGCGACAGGAGAGACTGGTCGCACCCCGGGTCAACTCTGCCCGATCCCGGCCGAGATAGGGGCCGACGGTGACCGCACCGCGCAGAACGGCGTCCTGTCCTGAGCTGGAGCAGCTCCTCCGCCGACTTAATGTCGCCGCCCGCAGCAACAGCGGAGTTTCTGCGGAGTGGGAGAGCTGGGCCCGGCCCTGGTGAATTAAACAGGCGGGACGGGGTGCTGCGTCACTGGTGGTGCGGTGTGGTGGGCTCAGTGTGCCACTGCCGCAGAATGATAACTAGGGAGCTGCCGTGGCACGAAACTGAACTAAGGCGAGCAACGGAGCTGCTTTGCCAGTGATGGACGCAGCTGCTTCCTCGGCTTCCTTGAAGGCGGATCGCGAGGCTGGTGGATCACTCTCGCCAGCAGAGGATCGGAATTCGGATGAGATCAAATCGTCTCGCGATTTGTCTAGTTCTGTTCTGCGCCCTGCAAACCGTGCAGCGCGCTTGACGGAAGGTTTGAAGAACCTTCTTTGGAGTCAGTGAATTGGGTTCCAGACCATCTCCGGACTGGGCTTAGGTCAGCCGACAGGAGAGTCCGGATTGGAATAGTGATCAGGTCACTGACTCTTAGTTCGCCTGTGAACCGCTGAACGTGGTGGCTCCAACCTTTTAAAAACCGGCCCAAGCCTGTTATGGAAGTCATTGGCATGGAATTCAGATTAATCATCCGCGTCGTGCGATGGACGAAAGACTTAGCGGTTCCCAGGAATTGAGATTTTGACGTGAACGCCGTCGATAGCATACATTAGTCATGGTTTGATGGACGCATTTTTAACGTCGACGTTATGGGTCGATGCAATCATGATGTTTTTGTCTGGTTGGCCATTGGCGGTAGCACTATTTTATGGTGACGATGGATCGTTAAGTGTATAACTCGCCAACGACATTACAGTTTTACCTGAACTCTGCTACAAACCGTGTCTTGTCTTCCTCCGTTCCCTGCTGATCAAGGAAAACTACACGGCTAGATAGAATCTCGTCCATTTTGCAAACGTATGCCAATTTGTTCGGTGTCATCAATTGCACTATCGATTGTTCCAATCTCGTCTGTTTATCGTACCATCGTGAGCGGTGTCAGAATCAGCTGTCATTGTCTGCGCTCATCCTGCGAGTGACCGTCACTTTGTCGATTTCCATTGTTACGAACCACCGTTTACAAGTCACCTCACCGCTCTGCATCGTTTCAGGTCCCGGAGATTGTCCGTAAGCGTCAGTACCGCGTCGGCCTGAACCTCTTCAACACAAAACCAGAGAGGGGTGTGGCCTACCTGATGGCGCGAGGGTTCCTGGACGAGACGCCTCAGGGGGTGGCGCGCTTCCTCATCACGAGGAAGGGGCTGAGCAAACAGCGGATCGGCGAGTACCTCGGAGACCTGCAGTCGCCCTTCTGCGCCGCCGTCCTAGAGTGAGTACCGACGACCGAATGGAGGGAGGGGGATGATTGGGGAGGGGAAAAGTGTCTTTTTTCCTGGCCATGGCTGATGCCATGAACTGTTTAACTGTCTGTGAACTTTAGAGCTAGTGAAATGACTGGAACGGTTGGATTTTTTTTTTTTTTTTTGCAAGTTGACAGTCGGGTTACTGCAGTTCAGTGTCACTTGCTGACTCATTTCGCATAGATCAATTTGGCCAATGCAATGGACCATCTTTTCCTGCGACAGCAACATATCAGTCCAGCGATCGCACGGCTATAGACCACTGCTGACTGGAGCTGGATGGGGCGGTTATCGTCCCTCCCGCGGTCGCTCGACCCATCTGTGTGGTCTGCTCTGATGGTGGGCTAGTGATGACCCCTACACCGCCATACGCCCAGCCGTGCCCTGTCAGTGACCTGTACCAACGCCAGGTGACAACGGTAATGGTTTGGTGTGACCCCTCGACAATCTCATTTGACCTGTGGTCTCATGTCATTGGCCGACGGTCTCAGCGTTTGGGTATGGTTAGGAGACTGTCGGGGATGATTGTATCTCACCCTGGGAATCGTCTCCTATTGTGTGTCATGGTTTGGTCTCAGCGCGCTTTCAGCTGTGGTCTCGGCGTGTTTTGGCAGCCCGTCCTGTGTCGCGCCGACTGGGGGTCTTTGTGCTGACACCGGTCCGACGCGTGTGTCCCAGCGACCGGTGAGGGGCCGGCCGCGGTGGGCCGCTCCTACCTATGGAGATGAGTGGTGTCGCCAGGCCTCCGCTGCCTGGCACACATCACCCGGGTCATCTGTGGAGCGGAGTGCCCGGGGCGGAGAGAGGGACTGGTGGTGGGAGAGAGCGGGTGGGCTGCCGTCACGGGATCGGCCTGTCAGAATCAGTTGCCACGGCGGCAGGCTGAGACTTGAGAACTGCAGTTGGTTTGGCTAGACGATCACGTTCACCAATAGTGGCTGGTATGATAGAACCGATACTGGCATTGCGAAAACAATCCGTCACGAACCATGGGCCTGAGTCGTATGAACACCAGTCAAGCTTTAAGTCTAAAAGTCTGGCCGGTTTCATGGTGCTGTCCTGGTGCGGTTTTATGATCTCTGAGCTACGATACGACCGATGCTAGAATAGCGAAGACAGCCCTTCATGAACTATGAACCTGAGTCATATTAGCATTCAAGTTTTAAGTCCAAAAGTTTTGCTGGTTTTATGATGCTGTGCGGTTTTATTATCTCTATGCTTTCATTGACATTATTGTGCGAGTGTCTGTAGTGCGTCAGTACGGTCGTGGCGCTCATGACATCGCCACAGCGGACGATTAGTCCATCTGTGATTAATCTGTCGTCGTGCGGTTGTTACGACTGCGTGGCACACTCGAAGCCCACGATTGGAGCGGAAACAGCTGACCTGTGACCCCGGCTCGCAGCGCCGCATTGCCTAACACGGGGCTCGTGCCGCTCATTTACTCTGTGGGCTCACGAGTGGTAGGTACACTAAGCCAGCGTTGCAGCGTGTAACCTTGCCGCTGCCGTCGTAAACCTGGATCATGATCATTTCATGCGGGGCTCGGTTTCGCCAGTCCTTTACCGCCGGACTGCTGAGCTGATAACGGGTGTAGTGCTGAGCTGATTCTGCCGCCAGCGCTGGGCGGTGGCTTGCAACTGGTCAGGGACGATTTCTAGCAGTCCCACACTCTGCTTTGTGAAGCTCTGAGCCGGTAACACATGCGTGACCGCGCACTGAGCCAGTATCCATGGCGCAATGTGCTAATGTATGCAGCGGCTCGGAGTGGACCGGTCTGTCAGCCAGCTGGGTGGACCGAACAGGACTGTCGCCGTGTGGCACCGAGGACTCTCCCGGGACCTGTGTGGGTGTAGCTCAGCGATAGGACAGGCCGCGGGGCATGACTCGTGCCGTGGTGGAATAACCACCCTCGGCACCTACCTGACCGGGTCTGCCGGGCAGGTGAATGGTGGTGTCCTAGTGAGTGATGGTGAGCACTGAACAGCTGAAGGAGTTCTGAGAGCAATGAGGGCGCAAAGTTGCCCTCGACGAACTATTCGACAGCTGAAGCTGCTTGGAGCTGAATTCATAGTGCAAAGCTGCAGCTGCCTCATTGCCTCATTACCCTGTTTTGAAGCTGACTGGCTTTCGGAATGCGGTTACGTTGCACATGCGGATTTCCCTCCCTGGATTTTGAACAACAGCTGGCATTCCTTCACCCCATGAGCTCTTCCGCGTGGTTGGTTTATAGTTCATGACTAATGACTTCACATATTCGTTCAGGATTCGTTAATATCTTCTGCACGGGTGGAACAAACTACGTAAGTTTCCGAAAATATCGGAAGATTTTTGAATGAAGATATGTCGGTTCATTCAATACCGAGAAAGTGTGAAGTGATTTAGCACTAAAACGATGAATATTATGTCCGTGTCTGTCTAGAAAACCGAAACGAATCAGCTCACACGACGAAGGAATGGAGGGATGATTCAAACAAAACAGTCGTGAGACAGAAACTGTGGTCTGGGAAAGCCTAGCTAACTCGTCATGCCGCATCTGCAAGCTTTCGCCCGCTTTCAAGCACCTTTTTTGGATCAGCGTCAGAAGCTCCAAACATATTCCACCAGGCCGTTTCTCACGTACACACCTACACACAGGCTTCTTAGGTAGCCCTTTGTGTCAGTAGTCTAGTGGCAGTTTTCGCCGCACGTAACGGTCCGCCCGCACCAAAAAGGCTGCGTATGATCAGTTTTCCTCGAAGGCGCCCGGCCCGCTTGGACCGTGTCGCATTGCTAATGCGGCCGGGTGCGGCTGCCGAGCGGCCTGTCGATCGCCACCGGGCCGAACGTGCTGAATCATGGAGTGTGATGGTGGTCGGCCGGTCCTCTGAGGGCTGACGGGAGGCCCCGAGCTGACCGCCACGGCTGACTGATCGGTGACCGGACCCTGGTATGCCTGTCAACGCGACGCAGCTCTCAAACTGACGAGGGCTGAATATCAGAGAGCAAAGAGCTGTGCAGTGTGCTAACCAGCAAACCACCAGAACACGCTAAGTTTGAGCTTGCTGTCTTATTGTAAACAGATTGTCTATCTAAATAGCGTAACAGTGGCCTATTTGAACTCCACCGGTGTCATAATGTCAACTGGAGCCTTCTTCACGACTGTGTTAGCTCTGGGCCACTCCAGAAAGCACGAACGCTGCTGTAGTTCTTAACCCCCCGTTCCAGTTCACTCGTCGTGCCAGTTTCGACCTCCACCAGCCGCCGGCCCCGAATGACGAGGTCGCCAGTGGACTGAGGCGGATTCAAACGACCACGATCGACCCCGAGACACTCGGTCCGTGAGACGAATGATGATATCTCCCGCGATGATCATCTGAGTTAGTGAAGGCGAGCGGGCTGGCTATGTATGGCCGCTCATTCAGCGGTGTGCCAAGCCAGCGTTTTCACCGAACGATGTGTGGAGCGTCTGTTTGTGTGGAGGAAACGCGCGTCACTTCCGCGGTTTGGTGCCGGCCTTTTCTGCCTGCCCTACCCAGCTGGTGTTTGCCTCTGTTTCCTCCGTAAATCCGGAGCCACGTCACCGCTGGGTGGCATCAGCAGGTGGTGTCAGCGGATAGTGCGAGCCGCGAGCTCTCTTGGGAAGACCTCGTCACGGGCTGCCGTCAGCAGTTATGCACTCTCCATAAGCCCAACTGGGATCGAGTCCGAGGCGCGGACCGGGCGGGGTGCCCGCAGCGGCGCCAGGCGGGTCGCTCGGTGGCCCTGCCAGTCACAGCCGGGGCGCCGCGTGGGCTCCCAGATAATTGTCCGAGCTCCCTGCGCGGCGCTGATGGTCCCGCTCCCGCCGGGCCGCCCACCACGGTCATGGTCGGCAGGAAGTGGCGGCGGCGACGACGGGCTGCCGGTCCGATCGGAACGAGATACGATGGCCGGTGGCACTGCGCGACCTGGCTGTAAATATTAGTGCCACAGGTAGCGACGATTGGTGACTGTGGATTTAAACGCCGTCACTCGCTCGCCGAAAAATGTCGATGCTGGGCAAATCGCTTTGCGTTATTCTCCTCTCTTCTGTGTTTGTTTGCCATTTTTCGGAGATTCCTTCAATACCCTGTTCAGTGTCCACCCAAGAGTGGCTACCTTGGCTATCCGCGCCTGGCTGTCGTCCAGTTACCGAGTTTTCCTGTTCATAAATATCTCCACGGCAAAGTTCCTGGACCAAGTTATACATTAGAAGGGCGTTACGGTCGATTTACCTGGCAGTGTCTGTCTGAAACTTTTGGAGGTCTCACCACCAACGACTAACCAGGCAGACCTGCTGCTGCAGCACTTATGTTAACCTCGCATGACCAGGAATGATGGCGCGTGGGATGTAGGGAGTGCGCGAAAAATGTCGGGGGAGCACCCCGATTACAGTGCACTGGTTCGGTTATCCTCCACTGACGCGCCACTGCCATTGTTTTCTTTCCTTTCGACGTCTGGAGTCGGCGGCAATTATTCGGAATTCCCGCTGGCGAAGCGAGCTGACGAGAAGTTTCGTAACGACTACTGGAGGCCGTTGAAGGAGATGATTCAACTGTTTTGAGGTGTTGGTGAAACCGGCTCCGGAGTCCGCGCGACCGGCAGCTGACGGAGGCAGATTAGAGGGCGGATCTGTCCCGGGACGGCACCGCCTTCATTAGGCATGACTATAGGCGTGTTAGGCAACGTCGCCGACGGTGTGGCTGGTTCCGGGTCCATGAATAGTGAATACGAACTGCGTTTCGGTTGATCTCGTGTGTGTTAGAGATGAATTGAAACGTGTGATGATGCAGTGGCCAGTGCAGCTTCGACCCCGGCGAGCTGCAGAAGGCACTCCTGCCGCCGTCATGAGGAGACGGATCCCTGACCCAGATTAGCTGCGGACACAGCGGACCCCACTGCCGGTGTGGGGACGGGGGCACTGTGTGCTGCAGCGATATTGCAGACACCCTGACGCTGATCCCGCGAG